GGAGCTCGGAAGGGCTTGTCCCTTCCTGGCAGCCCCGACGGGGACACACCGCTGCGGGGCACCGCGCTCCGGGACTCCCTGCTCCTAGCCGAGCACTGTGTCCGTGGTCATCGTTGGTGGGGGACAGCCCGCCACATTCTGGCCTTGCCGTTTGGAAGAGCGTGTGAGTATCGGGAGCTGAGCCAGAGGTAACACCTGTACCTGGACCCCACCCTGCCCACACCTGCCCTCCCACATCTGTGCCTCCTCTCTTTAGCACCCACTCTTGAATGCAGTTCGGGGGTCAGGTGGTCCCACCTGCCCTCCCCAGGGGGGCCGACGTGTCCCCACAGTGCCCCGGGAACAGTCCCAGACCCCCGCACCCTGCCAGACAGCCCAATGAGTGCAACAGCCCCACACCTAGCCACGTCCCCATAGCAGCGCTCCCGTAGCAGGGGGTGGCTGGGACAGAGGTCCCATTCCCCAGGGTGACACTGTCACCGAAAATGTCGGGATAAATGAGACTCCATGTTTAGCTTAGAGAGCAGCAGTACTTTATTCACACTGCTGGGTGCACAGGGGGAGCTCCACCCACGACACATGCACGCTTTCAAAACTTCTTATTAATCATACACTTTAGCAAAGAAATTAATGTTCATTTGCTATAAAATACATAGTTATTTTCATTAATTAGTATTTTATCTTCTACTGATTACAGATTTCTTGCTTCTCATGCTAATTAGTCAACATTTTTAATCTTGTTATTATCTTATCTTTTTCCCAGGTAAGACAATTGCTGAATTTTCCTTGTTAATTTCTTTATCTCTTGGTTCTTTTAGTCTACAAATTCTGCATTCTGTGTGTCCAGTTTCAGCAACATATCTCTCCCATGTTTAGTCAATGAAGCCTATCAAGGTTGGTTTAGCAAAACTTCAAAGTTATAGTAATTTTCCCGACCTGTGTCCCTACAATAGCAGCTTATGACAAACCTTGCTAAGTGGTTGGCTACGGTGGAAAATTACACTGTTCATGACTGATTAAAACAATTAATTAGAAATTTTAATTAGGAAAGTTGTATAATTTCAACAAGATAGGAACATCATAAGCCGAGAAGACACACTGGAGCTGCGGGGCGTCCACACTCCTTCCACCAAGGGCTGCTCTCACACAATGTCCTTCGCCGAAATGGACACGGGGCATACCCGACGGAACAACGATCCTTCCAGATTTTCATAGAGGGCATCTTGAGAGCCACGCCTGCCGGGCCCACCGCAACCCCTAAGTGTTTCGGGGCAGGCAGCGCGGCCTCAGCTCCTCCTCCCGGCTCCTTCCCACACTCGGCCGGGTTCCGAGCGTTCCCTGCGCCCGCAGCGCCGGCACCTGGGGCAGTCGGGACGCTGCTCACCGGTGGGGTGAGGCAGAAACGCCCCCGCCCCAGCCTCAGGAGCCGGCCGGCAGGTCCGACGAGGAATCGAGCTCGTGGTGACCGAGCCAGAACTCCGGCAGCTCGTCCGCCCTGTTGAGGCCAAGCTCCACCACCAGCGCATGAGCACCTTGTCCCCCGGGTCGGTGAGGCCGGGGTCAGAGGCCTGGAGGGGGAGGCTCCCCGCGGCTTCGTCCCCAAGCCCCAGGCGAGCGACGAGCACCGTTCTGCGGCTCTCCGGAGTCCAGCGAGGTTCTGGACGTGGAGCTTCTGCAGGCACAAGCTGGCCCGGAGGTTGGGACCCGCCTGGGGGGCCACAGAGGCGGGGAGCAGGCGGAGTCCCCACCGCCGGCACCTCCTCGGCCCGGAAGGGGGTAGCAGCGCAGGATGGCGACCACCGTGAGGTCTTTCGTGCCCCGGGGAAGGGACTGTAAACAGCTCATCTCCGGCGTTTGCGAGGACACGGCCGCTCTCAGAGGGGCGCGGGCTGCCCCGGGCGGGTGGGGTCCAGCGACGTGCCCAAGACAGGGAGGGAACTGGAGCGGCGCTCTGGCTTACCCCCGCCCTTGCTTGGGCAGCAAGGCAGGCATCCCATCCTGGATGGGGCATGTAGGGATTTCCACCCAAGAGGCACCTCACCTAAAGCCACAGTTGACACTTGTAGGGTTTCCTGTTTATTTTCTCAGCTGAGTTCCTGAAACAGCTCCCACAGCTTACAGGGCAGTCTACCTGCTGTGGGGACAGAGCACATGGGGCCCCAAGGTGGGTCAGAGCCAGCATCTAACCAGCTTCTCTGCCCTCTCGTTCCTCACCTTTTTCCCTGGATGGGCAGTCCCCAATCCTGACATCTCCTCCAGGCACTGGTATCCTTTGCTGAGGCAGTGGCAGCCCCTCCTGCCAGCGGCCACCATGCAAGACTGGTAACACCACACCAGGTGCGAGGGGTACATGGAAGCAGGCAAGGAGTCAGGAGTCACAGGAGCCACATCCTGCTGACCTATCTCCACACCAGATTTCCTGTTGTTTCAATCAGCAGTGAAAAACAAATCCAAGGCCAGGCTGGGAGCCCCTCTGTCTTGCTGTTTCTTCCAGCATAATCTAATTAAAGCCACAGGAAATATGCTTTCCACAGTGACTGGACATCTTTAAAAGCATAATAAAAAGGCCAGGCTCCATGGCCCTTGGCACTGGGATAGATCTGCTCCAGACACCTGTATACCTGTTCCCTTGCTGATAAACCTCATGGCAGCTCTCATGGGGCACCAGAGCATCTGGAAGTTCATCCAAGATCTCTCAGGACAGGAGCTACCACAATGCCTTGCATCTTCCTCAACACTCCTGAGAGGCTCTCCAGGGTCTGGCCCTTCTATGCAGGATTTCAGCTCACAAATGGCTCTGCAGTGTGTGTGTGGGGGGGTGATGCTGTGGAAAAGAGCACTGGCAAGGCAGGGTGGGTGCAAAAAGAAAGGAAAGGGCTGGAGGAGTATTTAAAGTATTTTATTTTTTAAAAATTCCCAGTTAAAAACACAATGGCTCTGCCTTTCTGTGGGTAAGAGACAACCTGTGGTGCCACAGGGTACCCCTCAGGCTCTACTTCCCAAGTGGGCAGCTCTGAGGCTGTGGCCTTATCAGGTAGGCAACACAGCACTGGGCTCCAGCTGGGGAGTGCTCACAGCTCTGAGCAGCCCCTCTCTTAAAATACATTTAAAAGCAGTTGTGACAACAAACTGTGGTGTTAAGAAAGGAAAGAGAAAGGAGCAAGGAAGGCTCTGCCAGCACTGGAAGGCTGTGGCCTACACTCCTGCCTGGGGAGAGCCACAGTGCTCATGCCATGCGGCAGCTTTTCTTCTTTGAAGAGAGAAAACAATTAACCAACCAACCAACCAACAGTACTTTCTTCGAAAGTTTCCCTGCAGCCACCAAGTTCATCATTTGTTCACATAAATATGCTGTCTTCCCCTTTGCCTGAGCTTTCCTTTTCTGCTAAACAACGTGCTTCAGATTCCCTGCAAATAAAAGGAAGCAGAAAAGGGTATTTCCACTGATATTTTAGCCTGATGGAGTGACCTGGCAAAGGGTGCCACTCCCATGCCTGATGGACAAGGCCGCAATGTGGGAATTCCGGCCTCAGCACAGATCGCAGTTCCTGCTGACCCCTCACTCCCTTTGCAGAAGCTGCTGCCCTCGTTTGAGCCAGGCTGTGGAAACTGCCACAGGGGGACCCTGCCACTGCTTTCAGTATGCTAAATACTGTTTTGGGATTTGTGGACCAGCATCTGAGAAGCACATGCTCACTCCTTGCTGCCTTGTCCTTTCAGGCTGGATTCACAGACAGGAGTGCACAGCCCTCCCTTCCAGTTCTGGAGTGATGCTGTTCCTCCTATCCTCTTGGACAGGTCCCCCAAGGAGGGGATGTCCTCTTCTTAGGATTGGCCTGTGCTTGGGAATGGACACCTGAATGCACTTCCTACCCTGCTTCCAACACCAGCACACTGCAACACACACAGATGGGAAAGAGCTGCAAAGCCCCATCGTGCTGTTCCCAGCCCCTCTGGTGGACAGGGACAAGAAAGATGGGAAAGGGCATTCAAAGAGTTTGGCTGGAGCTGGCAGAGCTCACCCAGCTGCCTTTCCTGAACTTAAAGAGTTTCAATTCCTGCCTGCTGGAGACCTGTCCCAGTTCCAGAGAGCTATTTCCCACAGTCTCCTCCTGGACCAACTGGAAAGACACAGATTGGATGTATGGTCTGCAAAGGGTATAACAGGGAGCTGGCTCACAGGGAGCTCACAGTTGGTGGTGATTTTTACATGGTCTTGCAGCCTGACACAAGGGACTGATACTGAGCCCCATACTGCTCAACATCATAAATGACCTGGATAATGAGACTGAAAACAACCATAGCACCAAACTGGGTGCTGAGGTGAACATGTCAGAAGGGAGAACTTAGAGAGCTCCAGCTTAGAGAGCTGGACAGGCTGGAAGACTGGGCTAAAAAGAATAGTCTTAAGTTTAACAAAGACAAAAGCAAGGTCCTGCACTTGAGATAGAAGGTGCCCAGTTCAGGCCAGGATCTGTGACTGGGAAGCAGCTTGTGAAAATGGATGTGGGGGTCCTGATAGGCAGTAAGCAGAAAGGGATCCAGCAGTGTGCTGCTGCTGTGTCTGCAGTGTAGCAAACTGGATCCTGTAACAGGTGTTGGAGCATTACTAAGAGAAACCGGATCGTCTCCTTTCAGGTGCAGATGACAGTGAGTACTGTGTCCAGTTATCATCCCCACAAATCACAAACATGGACAGAGCAGAGAAGGTCCAAAGGAGGACCACAAAGGTGATCAGATGCTGGAGAACCTGCCCAATGAGGGAATACTCTCCTAGCAGAAGACAAGGCTTAGGTGGGACCTCATCACAGTAATCTAGTACTTGAAGCCTACTCTGTAGGCTTCAGAGGACAGAGGCTCTCTCTTCACAAAGAGCCACATGGAAAGGACAAGGGACAACAGGTGTGAGGTGTACCAGGAGAGGTTTCACCTTATTTTAAGTATTTTTTTACAGTGAGAACAATCAATCACTGGAGGAAACTCCCCAGGGATGTGGTAGAGGCCCCACTGTCAGTAGTTTTCAGGATGTGACTGGAGAGGTTGCTAGATAACCTTGTCTATGTTCCCTTTCCCACGAAAGTTTGGACCAGATGATCTTTGAAGTCCCACAGAACCTGGGCTGTTCTATGACAAGGCCCCAAACTCCCCTGCCCAGCCAGAGCAAAGACAATGCCAACTTTTGCTACAGGGACCAGTAACTCTATACCACCAACCCTGAAAATCCCAAGGGATGTGGGAGGCAAATGACACTGTGAACTAATGAGCAGCCAGTGTGGTTCATCTTTCCATACAGTGAGAGAAACTCCAGTGAGCTCTTCTGAAGCGCTCTCTAAAAAGACCTCTAAGCCTGAAGAAGGAGTGTTGGCTTAGACAACGCACCTTTGATAGAGTTCAGAATTTCCTGAATTCTCTGTGGCTCATTGCGGTCTGGTCTGCAGCTTGGTGTGATCTCCAGCACGTAATCAGGACCATACTCCGTGAAGAACTGCACAGAAGAGGAGAGAAAAGTCAGCAGAGAGGTCTCTGAAGGCTGAGGCTAGAGGGAGGGCTCCCCATGGGTACCTGCTTGTAAAAAGACAAAACAACCACATTTCTCCACCTAAGGGCCACATGTAGCTTCACTACATCAAGGTGGTACTTCAGCAGTGTCTGTGTCTACCTGTAGTTTTTAACCACTTCCCCGTTCAAGGGATGGGAAGCAGAGCCCAGTGAGGCAGCCAAAAGCAGTCAAATGTCTATCCCAACGCTTTACTGGGAAAGCTGCTGACACTCATTCTACACAATTATATTACAAATACAGGTTACCTGCAAATGGGATTTATTATTAAATGTCAAATGCTGTAATCACATATCCTACCATTCACCTCCTACCTTGCTGAGCACTGCCTTGATATGACTGTGAAACACCTGGGAAAGGAAAAATCAGTGTGCTGCAAGAATACTGTCATGACTAAATGCTCAGACAGCATGCTGGAAACCTGCAGCACCTGGGGTTGATGCACTAACACAGAAATCACAGGTTACTGACAGCCATTGTGTCATGATTCTGGCCAAGACAGGGTCAGTTTTTGCAGTAGCTAGGAGGAGGCACAGCCAGGACACAGAGGTTATTCTACACCACCTCGTGTCATTGCTGAGGGCAGGTGAAAGGGACTGTGTTCCAGACAGAAAGGATTCCTTCCAGCTGAAATAACGTGGCAGAGGGAGCTGTGCAGTTTTGTCTATTATCAGGGGGGCAGAGGTGTTTCTGTGTGAATTGTTTCTTTTCTTGTTCCACCTGTCATTGGTATTGTTGCTGTTCAGTAAATTTTCTTATTTCAGCTGTGATCTTTACCCTTTATGCCTCCAGTTGGAGGGGGTAGGGGGAGCAGTGCAAGCTCTTAGCAGAAGCACTAAACTGCAGAATACCATTCCTAAGACAACCTTAATTGGTACCCAGTATGGGGCACAAAGGGTTGAGGTAATAACAGATCTGCTCAGAGTGGGCTAGAAACAAATTTGGTTCTAAGCATTTGTTCACATTAGGTACAGAGCCACTGGTCACAATGTTGCTTGTTCTGTTCATGTGGGCGTGGTACATATGTGTGAGCACATATGTGTTCCTTGTGATGATATTTTTCAGAGCAGGGAAAGGGATCAGGATTGCTTTCTTGCTGTACTGTGTGGTATCAGTTTATGAAATGATAACAAGGGCAATGAGGGTCATTTTGGATGCGTATTCAGTGTTCTTTTCTTACCCTTACCTTGGGCACTACCTTTGGTAGTCCATTAATAATGGTACTCAGCCTGAGGGGGACACAGGAGAGGATGATTCTCCCCAGCTTGCCAACCCCACCCCTCTTCCTCCTTCAGGCCTGTTACAATAGCTTTTGAGAAGTCTGAATTCCCTTTGGGTGTTACAGAAAGCATGTTCTTGTTGCTATGTCTCTTATGTGTGTCTCCTCAGTACAAATTATAACATGTTTAGAGTCAGTGAAGTCCACACCATGTTTAGAATCAGGACAGAGATTTCTAGGAAGGTCATTCAGAGATCTGGCCCAAGGGCGGACAGTCAAAAGTGGCACAGAATGTGGGAGAAAATGGGCCAGTTTCTGGGGAAATTCTCAGCTCCAATGGTTTGGAAGTTCACCTCTGTACAATTACAGAACCCTGATAGAGTGACAGAATACTTGCAAGGTGAATGCTGTGTCAACTCCAGAGAGGAGCAACTTACTGGATTGTGCTGAGCCCTGGCTACTCTTTACTAGACACTGCTGGTCACCAGACAGAACCCTCAGGGGGAGGAGAAGGAGAAAAGCAGAGCAACAGGCACTGTGGCCACTCAAACTGCAGCTGAAAAAAAGAATGAAAGCCTTGAGAAAGACAAAAGGCACATCCTAAAGAGCTCTTTGAGCAAAGCAGAGAATCCTTCTGCCCATCCTCTCTGTAACTATCTGACATTGGAGTTTATTGGCACGTGAGACCTCCCGCAGAAAGCTGCAGACAGCCTGTTTTTGGGCACAAGCACCCACCATACTGCTAGGTCAGTGCAATATTGTTATCTAAGTGTCTTCAGAAAACAGGACTGAATGGCAAGGATGATGTGTGGATTAGGCAGAACAACTGACTCTTCTGTAAGGAGAAGGAAGGGTTTTTCAAAGCATTACCTCATGATCAGGGATCTCAGAGGAGAGTGTTCTCCCAAGGATGACCCCAGTCAAGTATGTCCAGCAGCGAGCCGTGTTGGCAAGGTTGTAACCTCCTGTTTCCAGCAAGAGTTGGGATTTTGAGGAGGAAGAGTGGGGAAAGGGAAAAGAGAAAAAGAGATGTAAGTGATAAGAACAAATCATGAAGCCACTGTGCACAGGTTACATGAATTCAGCTTATTTAATCCACTCAAGCTATACCCAAAATCTGCCTTTTGCAGCTGCTGGTTACACAAGACCACGTCTGCATGACGGTGTATGCAAGAGCAGACTGTTGGAATCTGAAATAAAAGCCTCTCTGAGTCTCTCAGAGAGAGAAAGGAACTAAAATATATTAAACTACATAGACATGAAGTAGGAGTGTAGGTTTTAGTTTTAAGTAAGTAGAAATATAGTTTAAGTGCCTTAAGAAATTGTGTTAGCTAGTAAAAAGCCCTAAGGCCTAGTTTAAAGTTCAGTAGTGTAACCTTTCACAGAATCAACTTAGTCCTAGACATAATGAATACATAGCTTACATTTCTAGATAAGACAGATAAAGCTATTCATGTAAACAGATAATGCTCTATATGTAGCATTTAGGTAAAGACTGACACTGCCTTCGCATATTAGAATTAAGCTTAGATTGGCGTAGAAAGAATGTATCAGAATTGTGTTTTTATCTGATTTTGAATATAATCCCCTGCATTGGGATGAAACAACAATACAAAGAAGAACAACACCATCATCGTCATCACACCCAAAGAAGAACTCCTCCAACTGCTTCTACTGCCCAGACCAATGGGACTTTATGCTGGGAAGCTGCTGTTCAGAATTTGGGACTTTATGCCAAAAGTTTTTAGCACAAACTTTAATACTCTGAACTCTTTGCCTTCAAGACTGATGCATTCATACAATAAATATTTTTATAGCAACCAACAACTGCTCTTGTCTCCTTGAGACCTGGAGACCCCCACGAACCACTCAAAAGCAGACCTGTCAAACTGACCCTGTTTACATCTGGTGTGGCAGAGGCTGGTCCTCCACCCACCATCTCAGACCCAGGATGAGCTCCCAGCCCCTTGTGCTGGAGGACTCTCTCCTGGCAACAAGGAGAGTGAATTGCAAGTAGCAGGCCACAGCAGAAATGGGGGCTTCCTGCTTTTTAATAACAGCTTTTGACCTATAATGCAATATACGCATGCCCAGCCACATGCTGGTGAGCTCTTCAGCACCATCATGTTTGAGAGGACAAATGCAAAGCTCATCACTACAACTTGCTTTACATGGAAATGAGATTTCACAGTGAATAGGAAATGGTTACCTACATAGTAACGGAATATGAGCCCACAAGGAGAAACCTTAGCTGAATGCAATCTGGCAAGAGACTCAAGTGTTTTTTTCCAGAAAAGATGACTAGAATAGTAAAGGGAGAAAACCCCTTCCACAAGACAGAGAGACCATATTTTTCAATATTCCCTTCTGTTTGCTTTGGTCATTGTGGGGTTTTTTCCCTGCTTTTTTTTTTTACTTCCCCCCCAATTTCCACTTCAAATGCTTCCACATGCTGCAGTGGTGGGACACTCCTTTGGTATTTTCACAAGTGACTAATAGTCTATCCTCATTTTTTAACAGAAATTTTGTGTTTTGTCTGAAAAGTGACATCTCCAGCACACTCACAGACAAGCCACAGCAGGACTCATGACCTTTTCAAAACAAAGGGCATCAGACACATCAAATTTTAGCCTCAATATGCTATATCTGATTTCCCCATCTCAAAAAGGACAACACCTAGAGCTGATCTGGCTCCAATCACGGTGCTCAAGGGCTTTCCCAGGCACACAGTGGCTTTTGTTCTGAAATGCTCTGTTAACATAAAGCCTATGCTGTGCTCTCCCTACTGGAAAAGCAGCTGGTTAGGCAGCACAGCAAAGCTGAGTCCCACTTAGCTTTCACTAGGTCTCAGAGCCCTTCCAGGCAGCCAGGCCATGTCCCAAGGCCTCTGGTTGAATCTTAATGAAACCAGGTGGCCAAGGTAGGTTTGGGAACATAGCGCTCACTTTTAAAGAGAAGCACCAAAGGGCTGATCAGCAGAGGTGGGAATCAGAAGTGTCACTGAGAAGTCAGGGTCAGTTTGTTGGCCTCTCCTCTTCTCCAGAGGACCCATGCAGCTCTTAACTCAAGCTCTGAGTCAGGATTGAGACTTGCACCTGTCAGTATCAAGGATTTCAGATGTGATAAAACAGTACCGTGCCACAGTGTGTCCTCATGACACTGCTCAGCAGTTACCCTGCTAAACTCTTACCAGTGCTGAGCCCAAGGGCAGGCAGGCACTCGAGGCAGGGTCACAGGAGGGACAAAGATGTTTCTCTGAGAACAGCAAGATGCACTCACCTCCTCCCAGGACAAGAGTTGCTAGCTGCCACTGCAAGACATACTTGAGGCACTTGCCCACTCCCTCGGGTGTCATGTTGAAAGAGCACATGGGGTCTCCAGCAATGGTGTCTGCCCCCAGCTGCAGCACAACTGCATTGGGGTTGAAGGCAGCATACACCTCCTTCAGCACTCTGGGGAAAGGAGAAGCAGTCCAGTTAATGCCAGCACAGCTCAGAGGAATGCTGGTGGCACGGCCCGGATCCCTCAGGTCCACCTATGTCTCTCAAGGCTTCTGCACTCTCTGCTTCCACCCAACTCATACCAGTTACACTACCTCTGCTCCCAGTTAGCCTTCTACCTCCACAGCAAGTTTAGCTCTCAGAGCACTTACCAAAAGGCTCACAAATGTAAAAGCACCACTGATAACATGGCAGAGGGGAATCTTGTCCTCACCAGTTTAGTGGTAGCATCAAACCCCACGTTTACATTGTCTACCTTTTGGCTGCAGGACAATCCAGGGGCTTTTCTGCCCTGTGAAAGTCATGGTGGAAATCAGGGTCCGGCAAAACAACAATCCTGAACTCTCAGACATCTCTCACCAGGACAGGTGAAACAGAGGAAGGCTCTGGCTAGGCTCTTACTCTCCTCTCTCCTATATGGCTCTTGTGGCAAAACTATTAGGAAAAGCTCTGTGCTTTAGGGTGTAGTCAGCCTGCAAAAACCCACACTGGACAGAACTTCATACTTCAAGCCCATTGTGGTTTTGGGAAGTACAGACAATCACCCTCAAACAACAGCTGGATGAGACATCCACAGTCATGCCTGTAACTGCCTCCCAGCCTGGACAGAACTCAAAGAGACTTCTAAGTCTCTTTGCAGAAGCTTTAGCTATACACAGCTTGAAATCTGTGGTAGGTTATGATGTCCTTCAGCTGTGAATGCATGCAGTGGGCTCCTGACCTGTCTCAGCCCCTAGAGCTGCCTCTCAAAAGCATGTCCTCTGGCACAAAGAAGGCTGCTCTGCCCCAGCAATAATGGCAAGCACCAATAAGCCAGTAGGAGGCATGGCCCCCACATACATGACTGCCATACAAGTTTATAGAGGTTTCAGCCCTCAAGAAAGAGATGGACATGCTACCATGTCCTGCAGCCCTGCACTGAGACTCCTCTGCCCTGGAAAAGAACAAGCCCCACAGCCCACTTTTGACATGGGCAACATCTTGTGAGGTCCATCATCAGCTGAGGGACAGAGGGGACTACTAGGAGGCAGCTCTTTCACTGACAGATGTTCAGCCTTTAGCCTTTCAATCTTCCAGCACAGACCTAAGGTGCTAGGAAAATGCTTTCAGCTAAGACCCAAGCATATGTCCCACAGTCAGAATTCAGAGCACGCACTTGAAGAAAAAACATCTATCCCTAAGTCCACATCTAAAAATACTTGTCCTTTCTCAGTTTCTCCTTTGATACACACCTGTGGAGGTGTATCTAAGGAGACAGGCTAACCTGTGGCAGAGACCCTTCCAGCCACCCACAAATGTCTCTGTATATACAGTTTGCATAAGGGTTCAGACCAGACCTCTGAGAACTTACTGTCCATGTTCACTGTAATCAAAGGCTGCAACAGGGGAAAGGACAAGCCTAAAGAAAGGACTGTAATTAAAAATACTAAGTTGTGTTTTATCTTATTCTCTAAAATCCCATCCAAGTCACTGTATCAGAGCAAAAGGGCTTACGATTCACAGATCTGATAATACTTTTCATCCTGAATGCCATCTTGAATGGGCACATTCACGCTGTAATAGCGACCTTTTCCCAAGCCAACATCTGTCACATCACCAGTGCCTGCAAAACAGAAACACCCCAATTAGGAGGGAAAGCATAGCAGCAGCAAGAGACGTGTGGGATGTCTCAAAGGCAAGCTGACAGCCAGGATGTTCAGTAGTGGAGAAGTCCACTTGCCACCACCAAGAAAGGAAGGGTGGAGGGACCTGGTGCTCTCCTTTGCCCAGTTCTGCCACACAGAAGGGGCTCTGCCTAGAGCTCAGCTACAGCCAGAAAGGGGGAAATGTCAAACATGTAGGTCCCCCTCTTTCCTTCTCCTGGGTCAAGAGAAGAGGCAGCAAGACATGCTGGCTAGACAGCAGGGATGGGACTTGCCTTTATGGAGGCCTCACCAGTGACATGTAAACCAAATGAGCACAAACTTCACAAGTTCAACTTGCCTGGGAAAAATCCTGGTGAAAATTTGTGCAGAGAAACAGTCATGACTTTTGAAGTGAAACTAAAGGCATCCTCAACTCCTATTAAGAAAGGGAAAAAAGCTTTCATGCATCATTTATATAAATGATGGAGTCTGGACACACAGTTATTGATACACGCAGGGCAGCAAGAAGAGAAGGGGTAGTATGAACAAAGCAGAAATGCAGATGTGGCTCAATAAATACATCCTCAATCCATAGAAACTGGAGTTCAACTGCAGCAAAGATCACAGCTGCTATGAATCTGGCAGGTGTCATGCTAATCAGTACTGAATGGATCTCAACATCTCATGTCACTACCCATGGTAGCAGCACTTGCCTGCACTGCTAGGCCTGCAAAACTGGGAGAGGGATCCGAGCAGGGTTGCCTTGGCCACAGCCTGGTTCTGATTAGAACCAGTGCTACTGGGCTCTCTTGCTTTTTCTCAATGCTGCTGTGGTTCAACATGCCTTTTCCTTAAAGACACATTAAAATAGTGGGGGTGGAGAGGGAAAAAACAAGTGATAGAAAACATAACAGACACCAAATGCAGGGAGAAAACGGAACAAAATGAAACACATCATAAAATTTAGAAGAGCAGGAAATGTTAAATGGTGTAGAAATAATTTCCCTGAAGGACGAAGCAGTTTCACCAAGGCCAGCTCTGACTCCAGATTTATAGCATCAAACCTTCTTTTAAAAGCACCGTTTATTACTGGCTGCTTTCCTCTTGCAATGGATCCTTAAACAATTAAACCCTGCCAGCAACTGCTCTACCAGGATGGGAGACTGGTACACGTTATCTGTTGCTTTAGGTACACAACTTCTGGCCAGACCCTCAAGAGAGGTCTGAGGAGCAGCATAGTACAAGTCTGTAAAGCAGGACAAAGCAGAATTGGACTGAGAGAACTCAACTGCACCAAAAGGAGCCAAAGCCACGGCTGTTGCAGCTAGTAAAGCCCTGCTGTGCATACAGGCCTTGACTTCTCCCATTCCTCCCTGAGTCTGTGCAGCTGTGCTGTTTGCAGCCTTTGCTGGGCCTTACCATCCCCATGATGTAAATCCAAATCGATATAAAGGACACGGTCAAACTTCTGGCGCAGCCGCAAGATACCCAAGACAGCGTCATTCAGATAACAGAAACCAGAAGCTTCATCCCTATGAAAACAACGTATGTGACATTGAATATTGCCAGTGCAATCACCACTGATCCCAGCATTCTCACTTTGACTTTGCAAGGGCAAGGGCACAGAGGAGTACAAAAACTCAGCCAAGGCCCTGCAGTGACCAAGAGACAGGTCAGGAGCAGCTCAAAACATGGCTGGGAAGCACAGAGAACAGGATTGCTTGTGCCAACTGCTTCTCAGCTCTGGGCTTTCTAGCAGGTGGGCAAGCATCAGTTGGCTCTGCTGCAGAGACTCTGGCCTGTGGGGGGTACCTCTGACCACTGCACTGTTAAACAAATAAAATGTTAGCTTTCTGCACCTGAGACATTTTAAAGTTCAGAGCCACTCGACTCAAACCCACTCATTCTCTGAAGCAAAAGGACAGTCCCCTTGGCCGTTTTCCTGTGAGTTCTGGACAGGCAGCCACTCCATCCCAGCTGTCTGAGTCACAGCTCCTGGAAAGGTCCTGGCAGTGAAAGGCAGGTTCAAGGCAGTCACAGCATTCTGGATTCTTCTGCTGTTCTAAAGTCTCAGCCTATGATGGTTAAGCCTCTTCCCAAAGTAATTCCCTCCTTTCTCTTCACAGGAAATGCAGATGGGATGTGTCATATGCAGTCCCTCATGATACAGCTCCTGGGCTCAGCCCAGGAGGGAGTCCCAGCAGCTAAACAGAGGACAGGCAAGATTTATCACTAGAATTCACAAGGGACAGCTTACTTGCTGGCACCAAAGGAACAAGAAAGTTTCTTGACCCCTACTCCAGCCTCACTCCAAAGTCAAGTCCCCATCACAACTTAGCACCAGTCCACATGCATTCTTAAATCTTCCCTGGACAGCTATTTTAAAGCAAAGCTTTATGCTTTGCAACAGGAGTACACAAATCCCTTTTGCATAAATTATATCAGGATGTAAGATGCACCTCTGGAAAATTCCTCTTGAGTTCCAGTCAAATCACTCAGCTCATTTTCCCTGACATTTCCTGCTCAGCAACAGCTGGGAACGATGAGGAGCAAGCCAGGGGTGGCAGAACTGCACTTGCTTTCACTCTCTGCAAGTGCCATGGAGCACAGGTGTTTCCCAGAGACTCTGTTCATTTACAGTAATGCTGAAAACGGAGTTGTCAACAGCTATTCTGAAAATCTGACTCAACTGTGATTATCTACTTCTCCCCTCCCTCACAGCCCACAAGGAAGCAAAGGGAACCATGCTATGCCATCCTGTAATACACATCTCTGAAACTCAAGGCCAAGCAGAGAGCAGTGTCGGAGCTGCAGCTCAGGACCAGCACTTGAAGGAAGGGTGGTCTTGTCTACACTGCAAAGGGTCCCCATGTTTTGGGAGATGGGGCAGATCAGTTAAATAAAACACACTTCCATGGAAAATGGGAAGGAAACAAATTATTTTACCACTACAGAACCACAGGACTCAGGGACAGAATTATGTTAGATGTCACAGGAAACAGCCCCCCAAGGAATGTGGGGAAACCCAACGTCAGTCCTGCACTGCTTCAAACCTCTTATTAAAAAAACCCCAAAAAGGCACACAAAACAATTTGGTTATGTGACCACATTCCCACTGTGTTCCAAAATGGCAGTGAAATCAGTTTATCGCTCTACCATGCTTCTTCATGGACCCAACAAAATACATTCTTACTTGAGCTTCCTGAGATAATGATGCATCAAGGAATCACAGGACACCTGTGAATATACCTGCCCCAGACCTGCTCTGCAGCACATGACAGTGACAACATCAGCACTGGGCAGTGACCTGCCTCTTCTTAGGCTTCTGCCCTGCCCTTTGCTTCCTTCCTCTCTATCTCCTGCCTTCTCTCACACCTTGCTTTCTCTTCCAACTGGATCATTGTACCCTGAGGGTTCACAAGGAAGCTGGGAGCTAGGAAGCAGGATTTAGACACCAGATAAGAAAACAGAAGGAAAGAAATTGTTTTCTTACTTCTTTGCATGATGCCACCCTCCAGGCCAGTTAATTGCTACCTTGCACTTGCCATCCAGCAGGCACTGGGCTGCAGTGATGGTGGCTCCTCCCACAGCTGCTGCATACTCAAAGATCCCTTCAGTGGCTGGACAGTCGTAACCTGTAGGTAAGAGTCTGCATATCAGACACAATAGGCCTTTTCCTCCAGGGGAAGCACATTCCTTTTGCTTGAGCCCTCAAGACTGACCCAGGCTCGATCAACCTGTTCCCTAAGAACTGATCCCAGTTCTCCAGGAACTCCATACTGGAGAAGTTCTTGAAAAACTGCTACCCATAGGAAAGACCCACACCAGAAAAGTTCACGGAAGACAGTGTCCTGTGGGAGGGACTCCACACACATGCAGGGCAGGAGCGAGGAGGAAGCGGCAGCAGAGATGTGTGAACGGACCACAACCCGTATTCCCTGTCCCCTTACACTGCTTGAGGGGGAAAGTAGGAGAGCTGTGAGTGAAGTTGAGTCTGGGAAGAAAGGTGGATGAGGAGGATTTCAGTTTTATTTTGAATTCTCACTATCCTATTCCATTATTAATTTGAAATAAATTGAATTAATTTTCCCTATGTAGAGTCTCTTTTGCCAGTGAGAGTAACTGGAGAACTGGAGAGTCATCTCCCTGTTATTATCTTGACATGATCTTTTCCACTGTATTTTCTCCCCCAGCCTACTGAGGGGGAGAGAGAGTGCACCTTGGTGGGCACCCAGCAAAAAAACCCCACCCATACCACAAAAGTCAACGCACCACAAAAAGCACAATCCAAATGTTTTCTTGCACTCAGTTCATTAAAAAATGTGTCCTGAACCAACTTCTGAGTTGTGTGCCTGGCTTGCTGAACTTACTGGTTCCTCATTCCAATCTCACAAAAAACTACTCTCAGATCTCTGGCTACTTGACCTGAAAAGCCCTGGCATGTTCACTGACATACCTCTTCCCTAAAAATGGACATCCATAAATGAGTCAAGCCTAGGTAAGCTGTAGGGCTATAAATATAATATGATCTTCACTTAGTCCTACAGCAGCCTCCCTGCAGCTGTTGCCTACAAAGCATGATACCAGAGCTGCTTGTCTTCCTGTAAGGAGAGCAGCTTCAGGAATGTAAGGAACACTCATGAGATCAAGCAGAGAATCTGCACCTTTGCCTCAGTTCTGGGTCACTCCTCCCATTCCTGAGACCAAGACAGTGCCCACAGCCATCTCACCTGCTTTACCTGCTGCTCAAGCTGTCTCGGGTCCAGGAAGGCAAAAGCCCTCTGCTCCAGACCTAAATCACTAGACAGACAGCAGCTGCTCTGGTCATTACAGCTCCAGGCCACTGTTCATGCATGCCCTCCCCACAGCAGGCTTGCAGCAGCCAGTCCTGGCTCCAGCCCAAGAGCAGTGTCAGGGTCTTCCAACCTGTTCCAGAGCCTCAGAGCAGCAGCAAAGGGCACCAGCCCCAGCTGGCAAGAGACAGGCCAAGCTTCACAGAGCAGCAAAGTGAGGCTAGCTGTACCCTCTGCTGGCACCAGGGAAAGCACCAGCCTGTCAGATATCTGCTGGGGTTCAGGAACACCCCATTAAAGACTGTTTCCTTCCAAAACCAAGCCCAGCATCCCCCTGAGCTCATCCCTCTAACTGCAGCTCCAGCAAATAGCATCCTGGCTCTGGTACTAATCTCTTGCTGAAGATGCACATCCTTACCCAGTCCATATTCCACAGACTCCGGGTGGTCATCATCCCCCTCCTCACTGACCTTCTGCAGGTGCTGCAGGTAAGCATCTGTGTGGAAACTCGCCATTTCCTCCATGGAGGCCACTTGTGGCTTGACTATCCTAGGCACAGAGAAAGAAGGGAGCATATCAGGGCAAGAGGCTCCAGGGTTCAGCTGGAATGTCCAGCTTTAGCCTTTACCCTAGGAGCCTTCTTTTGGCTGTTACTGTTGTAAAAGCAAACAAAAAAAGCAAACAAAACTCCCCTTCCTCTTGCACTGGACTGTCATTCAAGTGAGAAAGCCACCCAGCTGGGCTGGAGCAGGCCTTGCCCCTGGCTTGGCACTGCCTGTGGTGCCCACTCCAGTGAAGAACACCGGCAGATGCTGCCTGCGTTAACCTTCCCACTTTGCTTCAAGTTTTTTTTTTCCCCTCTTCTGCATGTTCTCTCAGTTTGTGCAATCCCCATCATATTCAACATTCAGGTTACAGACAGAGGAACTAATGGAGGGAAATGCCCAGGCCCAGCGCAGCCCTGTGGGACCTCAGCCTGCATCAGGAGCTGCACAATGCCTCTCCACACACTGTGACCTGCACCAAAGCAGAAACTGTCACTGTTCCCAGCAACTTGCACAGCACTTTCCTGGGTCTTTGCAGTGTGCCTAAACAAATCCTGCGACACACTGAACCCTCTCCAAAACCTGAACACTGGGAGCACACACAGGCAGTGCAGCACAGCTCCACTGGTACAGGAAGAACACAGGAAGCTCCTAGCTCCAGGCTGGCGCCGATGCTTCCCACCCCATGCAAGGGCAAACAGTCCTTCAGGTCTGCTCCATAACCATACCTGCAGCTATTTCCCAAGCACACTCTGCCAGAAAAAAAATTCCTACAATCACGCCACCAGCAGGGACAGTGTGAAACATGAAGTTACTCAGCACCTCCCAAACCTTAGTGGAGAATAAAACATCCCTTCATAGAAAACGGGAGCACTTACTTCATCTGGTCAAGTAAGCAATACGCTTCAATCAGTGAATGCACCATGCTGGCCTAAAGAGAAGAGTAAGACTGTAAGAGCAGGAGACACAAAGACAGCAACCAGGAGCCCAAGGACTCGCAGACGAGGTGTGGCTCAGACTCCTCCCAGCAGCGACTTTCCCTGCCCGGGTCTCATCTCCAGCCCGTGCCCATGCCGTGTGGAAGGCCCTTCCGGTGTCCCGGGCAGAAGCACAGCCGCGCACAGCTTCCCGAGGAAGGGAAGCGGCGTTTCAGTGTCCGAGCTCGCGCTGCCAGGGGAGACGTGAACACGGAGACGGGCCCTCCCCACTCTAACCCCATACTCCTCCCGCCGGGGCCGCCCGTTCCTCCGCTTCTTCCTCTCCTACCGCCGTGCCGGGCGCCGGCTGCCTCCGCGCCCGGGCCTCACCGCTGTCCTCCCCGCGCCCCCTCGCCCCCGCCACGGCGCTGACCCGCTTGGGCACTTTGCAGATGGAGTCGCAGAGGGCCACGTACTCCGGGCTGTATATGTAGACCGGCGGCGGCACGGCCGCCATCGGGGCCGGCACAGCCGGGACCAGCACCCGCAACGCCGCCGCTCGGGGCGCGCCAGGATCGGCAGTTCCGGCCCCGCGGCGTGCCGGGAACTGTAGGCCCGCCCCGCCACGATCCTTCCCCCAGCCCGGCCGCAGAAGAACATACCGCCAACTAGTGTTAGAGACATTTTTACTGGAGGCCCCACGCAGCTCGGGGTGGTGTTTATTCTCTAAGAATGTCATTTAAAAAGGCCCGAGGCCTGCACGCAGTACCCACGCGGCGCCCGCCTTGCTCAAGGAGTCGCACCTCCGGGCCCCCTGACCCCGGCAGTTCCTACCGGCTCCCTCGGGTCAGAGAAAGGCACCGGGCAGGGGCTCGGGCCGTTCCAGCCTCCCCTGAAGGGAGCAGGGGTCAAACAGAGAGGGATTAGCCGTGACAGTGATGCCTTAAGGCATCGATAGGAAAGATGTGTGCTAATGTCTCTACAAACAATCCCATGGGTGAGGGTATGGGTGTTAACATCTTTAAATCTAGAAATGGGTGTTAATGATTCTACCTACTTCAAGCCACGGGTTTAGATCCACACAGGCCTGAGTTTCTGAACTTTGGGGGAAAATGATAGGCTCAACGGGAAAATATGCGGTAAGCAGTTTGGGAAGGCTGTACCTTCCCAGTATCTCAGCCAATGGGGTAGGGAAGAGGGTAACATGCGGCTGGCAGTTCGGGATAAAAGGATGCTGTGCTCTCTGAAACCCCTAGACTGTTCTGCAGGCTGATGCCCCAGTGGACTCTATCTTTATTTGAATAAAGTTGCAGGACTCCTCTGTCTCCTTTTTGGACACTGGCTTTTCATAGCGCGACCTCCCACACAACCACATGTACAGAAGAGTTGCTACCCCAAGAGACCACCTGGCTTTGAGGCCAAACCCACCTGGACATCAGAAAACACAGGCACACACACAGGAAAACATCTGGCTCTGGGGTCAGCCCTATCCACAGTGAAGTGGCCAATTTTTCTCTGAAAACCATCTCTGCACTCACACACAGCCAGCCCTGGGCGTGCCACAGGCTGCATGGGCAGAGTGTGGTGTTGGCACATGGCACGGGCACTGTCACCCAGCTCAAGAGACAAGTTCAGCTGCTATCCATCACCCTCTCAGAAGGAGCTCAGGCTGCAACATCCCCCTAGCAGAAGCCACATCTTCTGTGCTGCCTAGAGTGAATGTGGCCTGTCAGACAGAGGTCTCATGAAAACACAGCCATCCAGGCCTCTGGGTGCAGGGAGTGCCAGAGCCCTTCACTGGGAAGGATGGCAGCAGTGAGAACAGCTGTGTTTGATGTGGCCAAGATCTGCCCACCCTTGGGGCTCAGCTCAGAGAGGACGTAGAAAGATTAAGGGGCATAAGGGAGTCTGAGAAAAGACTGGTGGAACCAGGCTCTGCTCTCCCTGACAGGAACAGGAACAGCCACCCCAAAATACATAGGTTCAAGGGTATCCTGTATTCTCCCTTGCCAGGTGAAGGCAGTAACTTGGAAGGAGTAGGTGGAGGTAAATCCCCTCCTTTCCCACCTTGCCTCTGTACAGCAGGTATGAAGGTCTCATGTGTATGGCCAGACAACAGATGATGTGGACGTTAGTCTATCTACACCAGAGGTACTGCCATGGCTGTGACATCCCTGGTCCATGTCCCCCTCCATTAGAAAGATGGGTTAGAATCGTGGATGAGTACTTTCTGAGGGTCCAATATGCCACACAGATGGTCCTCTTAAGGAAGTCTACTGCCTCCCTGGGGCCCAGGTTAAGCACAGCACTAGGAAACTTCCCAGCTGGATTCAGCTTCACACTGTTATCCACTGCTGCTCTTCCATGCAGGTGGCAAAGAAACTGCACCAGCATAGTCCAAGGGCAATCAAAGGAGACTTCAGGGCCTGAAGATGATTGGTAAGGGATTCTGGAATACAGGTTCTTTCCTCTGTCCTTCCAGTTGTGGGCAGTGACATTGAAAGAGATGGACTCAGCCTGTTGAATGTATGGCTTGGTGGCTGATGTCACTGGCACAATTTCAGGTTTTTAAATAATTTTTTAACAAGGCATGCTGCTCTTAGATGGGATTGACCTTTCCCAAAGGGGAAGAGGGTCTTTGCTCAGAGCTTTGCTTACTGAGAGCTGTAAACAAGTCTTGGAGGGGGACATGGATGATATCAGGCCAGCTTGGGACATTGCAAGGTCAGAGGGTGCGAGTGTGGGTTCTTGGCCCGTTGCTCAATGTGCTGCATGTACTGGAACACACCTGAAGTCTTAGGGAGGTGAACCAGGGAGCCAAAAGGGACCCCCACTTCCTCCACCACTTTGTGGCATGTGTGCCTGATCCTCACCAGTCCAACTGCACCATCCTGAGTTGGGGCTGACCTGCAGGACAGATTACAGCAAGGATCCACTGTGTCCCCACCCCTCTCTGTGCAAGCCTGGGGTAGATGGGGCAGAAGCCAGAGATAAACATTAAAACATGGTTTTGATTGCATGGGTAACACCAAATAGCCAGCTCAGAGCTGCTTCACAGGGCACAAGAACTCAGGAAGCTGTGACTTGGCCACTAGCACCACTGCCAGGGATAGAGTAAATGGCACAGAGGCACATACAGTAAATGGCATGTCCCAGCCAGCCAGAAGCCCTGTACTAGCATCTTGGAAGCAAAGGGATCCTGGGTACCAGAACCTCCCCAGCTCTGCTGGACAGGACACCCAGCAGGGGATGATTGGCTGCCTGCTTGCAAGTAGCACAGCTGTGTCTGAGGCTGGATCATCGTGATTTGGATGTGCTGGGAGAAAGGCTCAGGCACCATCCCCTATTCCTCTAGCAAAACTTTTCCATCAGCAGCAGGAAGAGCAAGAGCCTCAGCCTATACTAGCATAAATCCTGCAAATTTGGAATAAAAAGCAGTTTTTAACTGCAAACCTGCTGGAGGCAGGGAGAGTGTGAACTGGTCAGAGAGCACTGTAATGCTGAGCACACAGGTCTGGTCAGGGGAACCCTTTCCAACTCCCTCAGAATTCTGGGGGTAATGGTTCAGGAGGAGTCATGCAGACAGAACCTTCTAACACAAGCACACTTCAAAGATCAGCCCTTCTCTTGCTCTGCAAGACACACAGGCACAGGTCGGTTTAGGACACATGCCTTCTCTGGAGTTCCTCAGAAGGCTGTTCACCCACCAAGAGGCCAGGGCTGGGAGGAGAGATGGCCACGCAGGCTGCCTTGCAAACTAACCTAGTGTTCATCTTTACAAGCTGCATGAAACAACCATCCCAGAGCACCTACAACCCAGCGAGGAACTGCAAGAGCTACTGCATGGAGCAGCCATCTGTGGGCAGAAAGTCGTACACGTACAAGGCCACTGACTTGGACAGGTAGGTCATGGTGCCAAACCGGCCGCTTGGTGCACTGTCATATAGCAAGCTGCAGATGCCTGTCGAAGGATCCCTCTCCAGCATGTGCTCATCAGCACCCAGGGCTTTCTGGATTTTGAACAGGGAAGCAGAAAGGCATCATTAGGAATAGAGGTGATCTCCTCATCAGCTTCCATCCCAAGCATACTCTGTTGCACTCAGTGTGACACATTGATGATGAACAGTGGGAGGAAGACACTACAGCTTTGCTGTGCCCTGTGAACACAGTGGGGACAGCAGGCAGGACTCTCCAAGTGGGTGAGCCCTGCACAGCTATGGGGAATGTAGCCAGCAGCCTTGGGTGAGGCCTGGCCCCTACCTGCTCCTCATAGAAGAGGTCATTGGCTATGTGCAAGATCTTTTCCACAGCTATGATGCCACCAATGGTGTGCACCTCCATGTCCACCAGCATGGTGAGCACTAAGATAGTTTCCACCAGCAGCTGCCTGTACTCTGGCTGGGGCACACGGTTGAGGACAGACTCCACATGCACAGCAAACTTCATTTCCCCTGGGGTCATCTGTGAGGAGGTAAAAAGAAGTGTATCTAGAGCACTGTATCACCTGCTCAGTTCCTGAGCTATGCTGGGTAATCACCCACGCTAATCAGCACATAATAACCCATGTGCCCCATTCACCATTCACGTGAACCTCCTACCTCTCTGGTTGTTGAGGAGGGAAGAACAAAGCCCTCCACGGAGAGGCCATGGCACTGCAGAACAAGAAGGAGAGATCATGGTTATGGCTTGGAGAAGCACCATGCTAAGATACATAGGTACAGCTCACAAACTTGCTCCCACTTGTGCACTGGTGCATGATACCCATACACCCCAGCTCCACCTTCTGATTCCATACAGCATCACTCCTTTCCCATCAGTTCAGCATCAGGCAGAGCCCCACTGCATGGGGTTCTGTTCCCTGGCTCACCATGCTGTGGGTGGGCTGTGCCCAGAGCACCTTCAGCTGTGGCTCTAGCCACCCCCTTGTCTGCCTGGTGCACGAAGCACATGAGCAGACCCCAGCTCCCCTCTGCAAGGTGTAGGCTGAGGTAGGTCCTACAAGACTACAAGGCAGTGCATGCACATCGTCCACAACGTTCCAAGGTCAGCTGGAGGCCTTATCTATGAAACACGTATCTACACAACATCAGGGACCAGCCCTGAGTGTCCCAGTTCCCCTGGCAAAGCTGGTGCCTGGGACCAGAGGCTCACATGCACGGAGAGCACCAGCTGATGTCTAACTCACCTTCTGCAGGACCTTCCAGACCTTCTGGTAGAAGCCCACAGGGACTCGGTTAAGGGCCCCATCCAGCCGGCGCCTCCGCTGCCACTGGCCCTGCCGGGTGTCTGCACTGCCCTGGTCTTCTAGCATGCTTGAAAGTGAGTCCTTGCCCAGCAGCTCTGTGTGCCCAGCAGACTGGGTAGACAAAACAACAACTACAGACACTGCTGCAAAGTTAAATATCCCACAGGAATGCAGTCTGCTGCTCCTTGAGAGTTTGTGGTTCTCCAGCCTCATTTCCAAGACAAAGCTGCCACCCCCTGACCCCAGCAAAGCCCACCTTACAGCCCCAGCTCGCTGTAGCACCCCCCAGAGCACAGCTCCTTCCTGCAACCACAAACAGGACAAACCCCATGTGTGCAGCCAACAAACACACATTACCAGAGAGGACTTCAGGTTGGTATCCCCAGACTGCAAACTGCGGGGCTGAAGGAGAAAGGGAGAGATGGAAATGAGACCATGCCAGGTCAGGGCAGCAGTCACAGCAAACAGAGCAGCAGCAGCACAAATCAGGGTCAGGCACAGGGCAGTTATCACAGGGCCAGGGTTGGCTGGAGACAGAGGGAGTTTTGAAAGGAAAGCTGCAGAGGGCTGCAGAGGGCTGCACATGCCAGGGCTGCAGCAGCAGTGGTTTGCGCTGGTGTGCACACAGGAATAGGACTGCTACCGCTCTGCTGGATGCTGGTATGGGCAGGGATGTAGTCTTGAGCGGACAGGAGGACCAGTAGGAAGGTTACTGCCCACAGACAACCCTCTGTGATGTCAGGTTTTGCACTGCAGCAAGTTGGCCCTAACTCTGCTGCATCAGCCTGGACCCAGCAAGCTCCATCTCTTTGATGACAAGATGCTTTCTAGAGCTCAGGACTTCTCTTGATCACAAGAGGAGATCCTAGGCATTTGTAGCTGACCAGAGGCCTCTTTCCCCAGTGAAGAAATAGCTGGGGAGGATGCAGGCAAGATCCAGTGAACTGTTCAGCAGAATCACTACTGGTCATGGCACTGGCAGCATCAGGCCATCCTGCTCAGCTGATTTTGTGGATGTAACAATGTATTTGAGCACAGCTCCCAGCTGCCTGTAACGGCAATTGCTTAGAGGGGAAGCCAATTCATTGCTGCAGCAGCTGAGGGAAGCTCGTTGACTTGTGCATGCAGGGAAGCTGCCCTGGTGCATGGCATGAGGGGCAAAAGCTGAGGCTGCAGGACCAGGGAGGCTTCACCTTACTCCCAGGCAGAGACTGCCTACGTTTATCCAATTGCTGCAAGAGAAGAGGGAAATTAAGGTTCTGCTGTTGGATGATGCCCACCAAGACACTAGACACACCTGGGACACCACATGGTCCTCCCCATCCCTGCACCTTCTCAAGCACCCCTATGCTCCCCTTGAACTGCCAGAGCAACCCCTACCCACTACCAGATTCACCCCAGCTTTACCTCCAGGGCAGGACTGGAGACAAAATTAGCTCCTGGAAGCATCTGTGTCACCCACTCTTCCATCAGTTCTGCCTGGTTTGCAGCTGGTTTTCACCCACAAGACCTGTCATGAATGGTCTGCACCACCTGCCCTCACCTGTTTGATTTCACTTTTCAGCCTGACGAGGCCGGTGCGCTCAGACCTGGCGGTCCCGACAGCTCCCATGTCACAGATGGAGACAGCAGTGGTAAGCGATGAGTCCACTGAACGCACTGTTAGGGAAGAGAGATCTAGAGTGGGCAACATCGCCCAAGGCATGGCCATCCCTCACTGTTGCCCAGGAAGTGGTACCTCTGCACAACCTTGCCCTCTAACATAATAGCATCAGAGATCCATGAGCTCTGTACAGAGCTGCTTCAATTCAGACCCAGCCAGGTCAAGTGCCAAACTAAGCAAACCTCAAATAGCCATGAGATTTGGGCTTGATCCCAGAAATCACTCAGCACCATCCTTATGAAGAGAAGAGCTTCATGCTGGACCCCTCCAGTACTGAAGCCACTGTGCTGAACATAGGGGAGAACAGGGACACCCCTCATAGGTAGGAACATGTAGATCTGGCCATGCTCTGCATTCAGCTTTGCCCCGAGATGCTCTCCGCTGGGACTCACCGCTCTTTTCCACCCCAAACTCCTTGCCAGAGAGGATGTGGTAGAGAAGGCTTTTCATGTCTGATGGGCTGAGATTCATCAGGTTTTCTGTGGCTTCTCCAGCTGGATAGAAGAGAACTGTGACTTTGTAGCCTGCCTCACAGTCCTCCTAGGACATTTCTACCCTGCGTGCCATTATATGAGCAGGGGGAGCACTGGTAGAGGAACTCATCTGGCAAGGACATACAGCAGCTCCAGCTGTTGCCTATAACATGGACTCATCCCATACCAGCCCAATACATGCTGGGATGGAGACTGCAGTGCAATCACTTGTTTGTGCTGCTCAAGAACATGTCCAACTGCAGACACTGGCACTTCCATGCAGGGTCTTGTTCTAATCTGAGCTGCCCACTTTTAACAGTACTCCTTTCTGGTTGCCAGAGCCCTAAGCATCACAGCACCTACCCCAGCTAGGGCGCTGTCCCTGCCACATGTACCTGAACAACGCAGAGAGTGTGCCAGCTCTGTTGCCATCACCTGGATGATGAGCCCAATGCGGATGCGGAACATCTCAGCAAACAGTGCAGGCTGTGTGCGTATGTACATGGCCAAGTACACCATGATCTCCTGGAGGGGCAAAGGCAGATCACCTCACTGCTGTTCACGAGGGCAGACACCCAGCTGTGGGGTCTCCTGACACCCTGGCCCCTCACCTGGGTGAGGATGGACACACTGAGGTTCTTCTCACTGGCTTCATCAATAAGGCAAACGAGCTCCTCATAGGGGATCGGGCTGGGACATGGACAAACAACAGAACAGGTGAGAGGCAGCAGAACAAACCCTGCATACCCCCAGTCTGTACAGCCCCAAGAGGCTGGGGACAGCCACCCAAGGCCACTCCTGCCCATGGACCCCAGAGCAGCAGGCTCACATCCAGACCCAGCCCAGCATGCTTGCAGAGAGAGAGGTGCCACACTCACATGGAGATTGTTTTCTCACGTGGCTCTGGGGGCAGCCCCACCGTCAAGTGTTTCTGGTGAGACAGGAGGTCAGTACAGGCCTGGGGACAGAAAGGTGGTTGCTGTCAACAGCTGAGGGTTTGGGGACTTAGCACAATGCAGAGGGAGACAGAGCTGATGAAGCCATGGTTCACCTGCTCACTCTGCTGCCTCCTCCCTGACAGACCTCAGCCTCCTAGAGGCTGGCTGTATAGCTGTTACCTCATCCAGAGCTTCAACCTTTTTCTTGAGGATGCCAGAGATGTAGCGGATGAGGGCCCACTGGCGTGTCTCCCCCACCCGCACATACAACTCAGTGAGGAGCTCCTTGACGGTGGGGCCAGGCTCGCTATCAAGCCCCGTGTGCCACTCAGGTCCCCTGTGAAGGTGAAGGAGGTGTTGTGTTATATCCAGCAATTTGCCTGTCACAGCAAGCCCCCCGGGCTCTATGCACAGTTAGTCCTTAGGACACAGGTATCATCCTACTTGAGGATGTGGAGCATGTAAAGGATGTCTGCTTGCTCCTGCAGTGAGGGGCAGATGCGCAGCTGGTCCACCAGTGCCTTGCAGTCCACGTTGCCGTCCTCACCACGTGGCAAGTTCATCTCTGTGTAGAGTGCGTGGCTCTGGGGGGAGACCCGTGCTGCTGATTAGCACCACCAGCACCCTGCACCAAATAGACCCATGCATACTCCCTCCTCATCAAACAACAAGACTTTCCCTTGCAATCTTGCAAGGACACTGGCTAGAGCTGAAAGGATAGCTCAGTCTGGGAAAGACAGAGCTCACCTTGCTGTCCAAGTCATGCTGATGGGGTGAACTCAGCAGCTTGACCGACTGCTGTGATGCCTGGAAGATCCTGATGGGGACATACATCCCAACATCTAAAAAAAAACCCCACAGGTTGGCAGAGACATGTCCAGCCCCAATCACCACTACTTTACCCCAAACTACCTCAGACAGTCTGACAGTGCTTCACCAGCAGTCCTTGCAGAGAAGTTGGCTATGTGAGAAGCAGCCCCTGTCTACCCATTCAGAGGAACACTGCAGGGAGCTGCCATCCTTTATTGAGTTTTCATGGGGCTGCACAGGCACCAACTCCAAGATACTGCATGGCCAGGACGAACATGATGGACACAAAGTGCCTTTGCCCAGGTAAAAGCTTAGCTCCTCTGCAATCCATGGGAACCCCAGCATCATACAGCTGTGAAAGCTCCCAAAGCACTTCAACCTCACCCTTGGGCTCAAGGGAAGGTGGGGAGGGTGTTGGAGCTACTCACTCTGGACATGCAGGTCCTTAGCCTTGGATGCCAGGGATATGAGGTCACGGGTGGTGTGGACAGCAGCCCTGAAGCGGCTCAGCCCTCCCTGCTGGGTGGTGGGAGGCAGGTTTGACTGGGGAGTCGTGTGCTGCAGCAGGTGATCCAGATACTGAGCAACCTCATCATCAGTGTCCTCTGGAAGGGAAGGCAGCACAGCAGGGTTTCAGCCACTTTGAGTTGTGGCACCCAAAGGCCCAGAGAGCTCCCAGCTGTGCCTCAGCAGGGACAAAGCTTTGCTGGCTGCAGGAAGTGACAATGTAGGGCCAGTGCTGTCAGCCAGGTGGATTAACGGACAGTGCCAGCAGCCCAGCACACAAAGCACCCCTGTTCCTGCATGACTCCTGCCTGGGACACTGCCTGCCCCAAACTGGGGCTCCCTCTGTGTCCCACCTTGACAAAGGAAGCAACAGGGCTGCAGCATGTCTCTGATCAAGCTTCTGCAAGGACAGGAGTGTCTCACTCAAACCCTGCAGGAAAACCCTCACTCTTTCTCTCCAGGGAAGAAGTGCGGAGGTAGAGCCAGAGGTAGCTTGTCCAAGCAGAGACCCCTTACAAGCACCACAGCAAGGGCATCTTCCAAGCAGGACTCCAGCAAGGGAGCAAGGCAAGGTGGGTTTTACAACAATTATTTGCAAGTTGGAGTTACAAGAACAGTTATAGTTCCTGCCTTGCTCTTTGCCCAGCTTCAAGTAGCTCCAAACACCACATCAGGAGCATCACGAACTAAGAGCAGCACGGAAGAGGGTGCTCAGAGGCCACGTCTCTCCTCAGTCAGGAGGTAAAAGTGAGAGGGGACCCATGGGGAGGAACTGCCCCAGATAAAACACAGGGATGTCAGTGCACTTACAGCGGGCCAGGGCAAAGCTATGCTGCTCTCCAGCTGGCAAACCTGGAGGTGTGTTAGCTCCAGGAGATGAGCTACTCAGTGCAACTGAAGCAGCACGGCATCCCCTTTCCACCCCTTGACAGAATGCCTCATGACAGTGCCTGAAGGCTAGGCTGGAAAAATCCTCTAAGCACCACCCTTGAGAACATTCACCTGCCTGGCTGCACCATCTGACCAAAGGAAAACATTTAGCATCTTTAAGATGCTGTTGAAAGGCCAGGCAGATCCTCTCACTGGAGCTCACTGGGGAGGCGAAGCAGACACCTTAGACTAACCCTGATGCAACCTGTAAGGAGGCTGCAGGTGAAGTGAGAGGAGGGCAAGAAAAATGAGCATTCAGAGTCCCAGCAGTACATTCACTGGCTGCAGGAGCTGCAGAGGTAAAACAGATAGTGGGAAGGCTGACGATGACCAGTGCTAGGTCACACAGATGTCCCCAGTCCTGCTTGCAAGAGGAACAGCAAAACTTGCACCCTGCCATGGTCCCAGCACAAGGGTGGGTCCCTCATACTGTGACGGGCCAAGGTATTCTCAGGTACTCTCTACACAGCAGTAAGGCTTCAGTTTGGCACTCACTGGAGCAGTTCTGTGCAGGGGAGGAGAAAGGCTTGGGGAAAAAAACAGATTAATTAATGACATGGTGGCTCTTCCCCACCACCTTGGTCACTGTGCTATCACCTTCTGCACTGGCATTTATGCATCAAAGACCCTCAGCCACATCTCCCAAGCAGAGGCAGGCTGCCAACCCTTTATCTCTTCTCCACACAGCAGCTTATGAAGGTCAGAGCCGCTCATTCCAGACAAGATGGACAGAAGGTCAGATGGGAACATAGTGAAAACCCAAGTACATGACGAACACATTGGTGTATACTGGCAGGGAGGTTGGGTGCTATGGTTGTAAGGCTGAGTTAGGCATTTGCCACCCCTGTTCTGAAGGAAGAGGGAGAACAGGCCTGTTCTCCCTTACCATCCTCTGCTACCTGCAAGCCATGCAGCCACTCCTCAGTGTCTAGCTTCTTAAAGCTGTCACTGCTGAGCCTTTAACTCTTGGCAAAGACCTTACCCTCTGGCCCAGGGTCCATAAAGCTGAGGTGTGTTCGGCATGACGTTGTCAGGAACTCCGACAATTTACCAGTCTGAATTCTGGGCAAGAGATAGGAAGGTCAAATGGAGAAGAAAGGGGAGGTGATACCCTTGCCTGTACCTCTTGGCTCCAGGGCAAGCCCTTTGATGGGGAGAGACATGTTCACCAGGATCATACACACACTGGGGTCTACTTTAGCTGTCTGCAACTCTTTCAGCCATGAGTGGGCATGGAAGGGCTGCCCAAAAGCTATTAGAGAAATCCTGCAGCCATGGGTTTGATGACATTAAGAGCTCTGTCCTCTCTTTCATCTCCTCTGTTGTGATTGTAGCCCCAGGCTACAATCCCCTAGGCTATGCTGATAGCCTAGCACACCCCAGTGTATCCTCCCCATCTTGCTCCCCCACAGCCTATGCTCTGCCCAGAAGGTATCCTTATAACCAAGTTTTTGTAGGCCATCAGCCCCCTCCCTCCTGCACTGCAGGAAGCTGCACTCACCTTGCACCACCGAAATAGCCATCCTGCAGCTTCTGCAGCATCGCCAGCACCGTGGGATGCACACTGCTGCTGGTTTCATCTGTGTGAAAGATGCACAGGCAGTCAGGCTCTCATGCTCAAACTCGCTCCCACCAAATAACTCAGGGCCAGTTGGGCATTCAGACACCCAAAGCACCATGGCCAGACCCTTATTCTGGGGTACATGATCAGGCTGCGGTACCAAAAGCACCACCCAAAAAGGGAAATTCTGGACTGTCTAGGTTGGATTCAAGGAAAACCATGCCAGAATGCACTCCAGGCTCCTCAGATTTCACCTTATTCTGAAGCAGTACAAGACAGCAGCACCTAATAGCCCCCTGCTCTATCTCTGCCCTTCACATGAGAAAGCAGAGGAGTTGGCTACTGTCAAGGGCAGGAGGCACCACAGCAAAAGGCATGCTCAAAAAATTAAGGGGATTTCAAGTACACAAGGAGAGACAGAAAGGCGTTAAAGTAGAACAAAGTCATCTTCCTGCACCAGGCTCACAGTGAAGGCATGAGCTGCTGCAGGCAAGTCAGTTCTACACTGTGCCTTTGCTTCTTTTGGTTTACTGTTTTTCCCCCTCTGTTGATTAGGAAAGCCTTTAGGAAGTGCTCAGTCTTAGGGAAGAGTCAAGATGTAGAAAGAGCACCAAGAACACTTCTATAGAGAAATTGCTTTTTCTGGTCTTGCCCCCAGAAGGCCTTCCCATAAGCCTATCTGCCTGGAGCCTGAATACATCTGTGCCAGCAAACAGCCCTTGAGCTGAAGGCACTAGTGCCTGACAAGCAACCAACCCTGTTAGCTGCCTGGCCAGCTGCCCACTCAGCATGGCTCCTCTGAGCAGTGAGCTCTTCACAGGACACTACTGGCTGCTCCAGCCTTACCATGTCCCTGTTACTGAGATGGTCACACATCTGCCCAACCCCTTCCTCCAGCAGAGCTATTTTCCAGGGATGCTCTAGCCAAAGGCCTTGCAAGGCTGGAGTATCTATACCGAGCATAGTGTGAGAGATGGGGAAAGTGATGGTTGGTCGCCCAGTCATCCTCCAGCGGCTGCAGAGGTAGGAGAGGTCTGTCCTCAGCATCTCCACAATCATTTTGTTGTCAAGAGCCAGGTAGAACTGCTGCTGGTCTATGAACTGTGAGGACAACAAGAGACATGACTGGCCCTTCATGCAGTCACCAGGTCCTTATGGTGCCACCCATGTCTTTCCACAGGCACGCAGTCAAGCTAGCCACGCTGCACACCCAGAGGGCACAGGCCTTTGCACTGACGGCTCATCCCACCTTACTTAGCAGTTGCTAGTACAGCCTAGCAAGGGACCCTCAGCATCCAGGGCAGCTACTGGCCACTAACAACTATGAGGACATAACTAACGCCACAGCTCAGCAGCAGCAGCATCCAGCCCCACACAGCCAGTCCATGTTGTGCCTGTTCCAAGCGAATAGGCACACCTCAGAGAGCTAGGCTTGCAGCACTGCTTTTCCCCTGGACACATGTCCCTGGACTGCCATCAGCCTCTTCTTGGTGTCTTTGTCAGGGTGAGCAGAGATTTTCATCCAATACTCATCATTAAAAGGCTCAAACTGACCCAAAACCCACACAGCCAGAACCACCAACTGTGCTGCCTCATGCCACAGGGCTGGACTGCTCCACACTCCCAGGCTCTTCAGAGAGTGTTGGGTCACACCTTAGAATTCCTTGAGTACCCAGTCCTTGAAGAAACTTCCTGCCCAGTTTCATATCACAGAACAGCTAGGAATGAGCCTGTGCAATGTCACTCACCTGTGGGGTAAAGGTAAAGACGCTCTTCCTGATTTTGTAGAGCTTGGAGGTCCCAAGGACACCCATATGCCGGTAGGGCCGTCCAGTAAGGCACATCTGCTTGTTGCGACCTGGGAGTACAGAAAGATGAGTTTTTAGTACAGGAGTCCTCATGAAAGGGGCTGCAATAGCAAGTAGTGCCAAGCCTTTTGCTACCAGACAGCATAGAAATGCTGGTTTGTAGTCGGGATATCCTAGAACCCTGTATCAAGCTGGTACAGCTCTAAGGAACAGTAATTCTCTGTACCCTGACCTGCCCAGAGGGGTAGAGACATGTTGAAACAGCGACACACAGCCTGTCCTGACTTCTGCAGTGTCACACCTTCTGGTCTTTGGGATTGTCAGAAGCTGGAGCAGGACCAGGGGTGCCCTTCTGCATAGGGCTGCCCCCCCTAAGTTGACAGCTCTATCAGCATTCAATTCAATTCAATTCAATTCAAATTACTCCTGGATTACTCCCAAAGTCCAGGACAGTGCAGCAACAGCATCACCCTTTGCTTGTCAGCTCTGGCAGCTGCCAGGCTGCTCCCCCTGCCCATGTCACACTTGGCCTTTTGGTGGCCTAAATTAGCTGCCAAATTAAATCACAGCAGATCAGGTGTCTCCTTTGGCCCAGGCTAAATCTCTGGCTCCTGCAAAACAAACCCCATGCCTGAGGTGCTACAGCATCAAGGAGCAAGCATGCAGAGGTGAGCACATCCTCCCTTCACACTCAGCCCTTCCCACCCAACAGCAACATCCATGCTGCCTGAACTCTGGGCTCTCTTCGCTAGGGATGGCCAGAAGACCCTTCCTAGGGCTTGGCTAGCCTCCCCCATCCAGATCTGAGTACAGGAACAGAAGACAATTCCTGCCCACACCAGGTTCAACCTACAGGGATCAAAGTCTCTGTTCCTGGGGTGACTGTGCAACTGCAAGCCAAAGCTCTATCCCTGCCAGAATCACTGAACAGCACTGTCTGCCACCTTGTTCCCCTTGGCCATCAGTGGCTTTATCAGGCCTAGAAATGGGCAGCAGAGCCCTCATCAGCCAAGCAGAGAGCAGGACACGAGTGTCTATGAGCAGAAGTGCCAGTGGTGGGACAGATGATTCTGCACCACCTTTGCTACAGAAGCAGGGAGCCCAGCTCACCCAGCCGGGCATAGATGTGGCTGAGGATGCGAGCAGGCTGCACTCTGATGGGGTAGACATCCGCCACAGTCTCCACATCAATGCCTTCCTTCTGCAGGATTGCCTTGATCCCCTCTGTTTCAGCCAGGATACACACTGTGGAGAGAGGACAGTCTCAGGGCAACAGAGGCACAAGGATGTGACAGCACTGCCCCATGCCTTTGGGGACACATACAAGGCACCATACCAAAGAGAGAAAGCTGTCTGGGATCCCTTGGGAACCAGTGCCCACTGCAGAAGTCTGATTTGCCCCTTCTAACACTTTATACATACAAGTTTTCCCCACCAAGTGTCAGGAAGACAGTTTTCAACCTGTCTGCAGAGAAGGCTGCAGCAGGTGATGGTGTTGTGGGTCAACACAGGATGAAACAGAAGAACTTGCACCCTTGTCCTCCACCCACCTGGACAGGGCTGAGACTGGGCTGTATGGGCAGCAACCCAGCAAGCAGAGCCACCCCAGACCCCTTATGTGAATTCCGCACAGGCAGAGTCTCCCCCACCTGCCAGGCTCAGGGGTTTGGGACTGGTTCCTTTCCCTCACCTTGGATCACCACATCAGGTTTAGGGACAGTTGTGAAACGGCGGTTGAGAGGATCTATTTCACCGGGAGCTAGAAACCCCTATGGAAAAAAGGTATAAAGAGATGAACATTTTATGGGCAGGGCAGAATGGGTGATGCCTATGGACAACCCACCTTTAAGAGGTCCTGGGCGATGGAAGTGAAAACTTCCCCAGAGCAGGTGGCAGCATTTGCACCTTCACAGCTCCAAGCCTAGTCCCACAGCCTTACCCGGAACTCAAGATGACCCTACCTCAGCCATCAGACAACCCAGTATGTAGAGGGACTGTCCCCACATGTGTGGCAGCTTGCCCATGGGTATCCTGTCCACTGTGTGTGGATTCCTGTATTCTTCATCCACCTGGAAGACAAGGCAGGAGATCAAGAAGGGATCCACAGACAAAGAATGCTTAAGGAAGCATCCTCACTGCATCTTGAAGTCCAGCAGTTCAAGGCTTAAAACAAGGCCCGACAGCAGCATTTGTCACAGAGGGTCCAAAAGAGACTGGTTACATTCTTCCTCTCTTCTTATGACTGCCCCAGGCATCTGTGCCAGACAACAGAGCAGCTGCTCAGACCATGTTTGGTTTCCCAGCTTGAGCCATCCCACTAGGACTGACATGCCTCAGGAGCACCCAGAGATGCTTTCTGGTACTGGTGAGGAGCACACCTCTGGATGACCTGGGCATCCAAAGGCCACTGCTCTTAGATCAGGCCCACACAAATCCCTCACCACTGAACTGGAGTTCAGCACCACCTACTCAGCCCAGGTCTACTTGTCCTGAGCTCTTAGAGCACTCGGTCGCTGAGTAAGCAGACTGTCAGCAAAGAACTCTTGTGTGTGGGAGCAAGAAATGCTTTGGGAATAAAAACCCCAATTTTTATCCAACACAGTTTCATAACAGCTCCAAGCCATCCTTTTTATACATGAGATTTCCATGACCTACATGTGCCACTTCAGTAACGATTTGGCTTAAAAAGCAGTTAAAACTTAATTATCTGGTAATGAGGCCAAGAGTTTCAGCAGTTGGACTTTCATGATCCTTGTGGGCCCTTCCAACTCAGAATATCCTGTGATTCTCTAAGACACTCCTGCTTCCCACCATAGCTCAGGGTCACTCACCTTATCTGGTGGGACACTGTACAGCTCTGGCAGCAGAGGTACCCCATTCTTGCCCTTGATGAGAACGCCCTCAAGGGCTTCCCGGTATTCCTGCACCTGAGAAGGGAAGAGAAAGAGGGAAGAGAAAGAGGGAAGAGAAAGAGGGAAGAGAAAGAGGGAAGAGAAAGAGGGAAGAGAAAGAGGGAAGAGAAAGCGGGAAGAGAAAGCGGGAAGAGAAAGCGGGAAGAGAAAGCGGGAAGAGAAAGAAGGAAGAGAAAGAGGGAAGAGAAAGAGGGAAGAGAAAGAGGGAAGAGAAAGAGGGAAGAGAAAGAGGGAAGAGAAAGAGATCTGTTTCTGGTCATGGCTCCCTTCATCCTTCCTCTGCACACTTCTCCTGCCAAGGACTTTTTTCCACTAGCCCCGCAGGTCTCAACTCTCTTACCTGCTCCATGTTTCCAGTGAAAATCCCGTCAATCATCAAGTATGCCCAGAAGAGAGGCCACTCACACTCAATGTTCTCAAACAGCTTCAGCTCAGCAGGTTCATAGTAGAGGCGTTTGGGGTCCTGTAAGTGACATCAAGGCAGGTGGTACATAACAGGATCCCCTCAAACTGGCAGGGCTTCTCTTCCTCCTGAGACGCCAGCCTCAAATGTCCTCTCAGCCCTCCTCTGCAGATGGCCAAGACAGAGCTGAAAAGCAGTTTCACCTCCAGCCTGTTTTCTCCATTGGACTGCCCCCTCCTGAGCCCACTGCACTGATAATGGAGAGACCTACCCTTTCTGGGGTCTACCTCATTCCCAGGAGAGCCTTCAGAACACCCCAGATGTTGTGCTGTTGTACTGTTGTGCTGGGTCCCCTTTGCCTCGCCTGCTCTGCCTGAGCCTCTCGGCATCTGTCTCCTCCAGAATCATCAAGCTGACTCAGCCAGGTGAGAGGGCTTGGGCTGGTCACACAGGGCCAGAGAGGTTCCTGCAGGTCCCTCCTGCCATGTGTTGCCACTGTGAGCCCAACACAAGGGAAGCTGTCAGAATGAAGAGCTGCCTGCACAGAGTCCTTCCACCTCTGTGTGGTGTAGTGCCCTTTCTTTGACCCTCCCTGCTAACTGCTCTGTCTGCTGCAGAGAAGGGAAAGTGCTGGCCTTAGTAGACTATTCAGGCAGAGAGGACAGAAGGAGATGTCTTCTACCTGCACTCCAGCCATAAGCTTCCAAAATCCCATCCAACTCCAGCCAGCTGCATGCCTCTGCAAGCCCTGCTGCCCTTTCCATGCTCCCCAGAAGTAAGTAATCCACAACTCTGCATGCTGCCAAAGCTCACAAGCACTGGGAACATTGGATTGGAGGTGCTGCTGCTTCTCTCTGGCTCTGGAGGGGGACAGCCACACATGCTGCCTATTATGGGCAGGTCTGCAGAGGTGCAGCAAAGGAGAAGCATTCAGAGGTACCCATGACCAAAGGTTACAGGCCCAGCAGTTGGCGATGACTTAAGAGCCTCTGAGTATCATTTCCTATTTCAGCAATTAACAAATGAGACTGTTGTTTATAAAATTTTCCTGTTTTCTCTCCACAAAGCAGCAAACTCTCCACTTGCTCCCACGGCCATTCTGGCAGTACCCAAGCTGACTACTGGTCTAAGAGAGACAGAAACAGCTTTGTGACCCCCCGGAGATACTGTAGATAAGGGCTCTGCAGTCACCTCCCCAAGCCTCTGGTCCTTGCTCAAGGCTGGTGCAGCCCTGGGAGAGCCCACCTCAGCAGGGCTCCCACGCTGGGCACTGGTCCCACCTTCTCCCAGCCTAAGAAGGACACACCACTGGGTCCCAGGACGCAGGCAGAGCAAGCCTCTGGCAATCTGCTATGGGTGGGATGTACCATCTCTTCAATGAGCTCTGGTATTTTGGGGAGCCTTGCCCAGACCCATGACACTGCCTGGGGCTACTCAGGGCTCTTGTCTTCCCAGTGCTCCCCAACACAGCCTTTTGTGCTGCATTCAGGTGGGCTGCTGCTTGTCAGTCAAGTACTGCCAGGTGGCAGGGCTGAGGACACTCACCTCTTTGGGAGTCCTGTATCCATCCCGGAGGAAGCGGCAGCAGCCATAGCGCCCCTGGAAGGGAGGGAAAAACTTCCTGAGCAGGAGGCACAGTGTGAGATATCTTGGCCTTCAGTGCAGAAGCAGGGGCAGGGTGTTTATTTCAGCCAAATACCCCCTCCCTCACTCACCCAGCACTCAGGTACCACAATCACAGCCCAGGGCCACAGCACACAGGGCTGCTTCTTTGAACACCCCTGCCACAGGTCATGGAGACTGGGAGAGGACATGCCCAGCAACCCCCCACAGAACGTGTTTTTGGGAAAAAAAGGGCTACAGTAGTTTAGACTGCAGCTATCTCCTGGGAACAGGAGACAAGGACACAGATGCTTACCTGCAGCTTGGTGATAATCTCCTGCTTGGTGATTTCCACCAGCTCACTGTCCTCCACAGCAAATGCCGGGTAGGAGATGACAGAGAGCACACTGGCATCCACCTCCTTGGATGTGGAGGCTCTGGGCAGCATTGAGTGGAGGATGGACTGGGCAAAGGGGAAGGAAAGGTGGTTAGACTGTCAGGCCAGGCATGATACACACTGCAAACCCAGCAAAATCACAGTTCCTCTTGCAATAGTGTAATGCCTGAGTGGGTCTCACCTGGCAGTGCTGCACCTCATCTGACAGCACCCGTATCACTGACTGTGGGCCTCCCTTGGCTCCAAAGAGGTCCAGCTCATCCAATGCCTCCAGGGCAGCCTGCAAGTAGGGTGAGACTCAAAGACAAGTGTCCTTCACCATGCTGCTCATCTGTATGAGCTCTCACTCTATGCTAGTCCTTGTGTGCAAAAGCAGTGCCCAAATTTAAAATTTGAACCCTGCTGTGGCTGCAGAACATCTCTGGTCAAAATGGGACCACATCTCCATACATCAAAAGGGCCTGGGACATTTCTACCACACACCCCTGATTAACTTTTCACTTCCAGTTCAGACAAAACTCAGACTAGAAGGGCACAGTTTTATCCCAGTGCACAAGAAGAGTTTTGCTCCCCAGGAACCTATCTGCATGGGACAGACACTGCATGGGGCATTGAGCATTCATCATGCCCAACCCACCCTGTCAAAAAGCAGCTCAGAGCCACCAGTGGTCCTCATCCCACCAGCCAGCATTTCTTCCCCGCTCACCTTGGCCATGCCGACAGAACTGGCATTCAACTCGGTGATGCCCTGGTTTGTCTTGTCCCCACGCTCCCATATGCCAAAGTCCTGTGAACCAGGCACTGTTTCAGAACGCAGCCAGAAAACCTTTGAATCCCACCCATCCATGGTGCTTCCAGAAGGTGCTGGTGTGCCTCAGGAAGAACCCACAGCTGTTCCTAGACACCAGTCCAGTATCTCCCCAGCACCCACCGCAGTTTTGTAGGCAGCTTCAATGTAGAATACAAGGTTCTGGATAAAGTTGACTTCATCCAAGCTGTGGATTATGTGGAGACCTAAAGCAGAGGGAAGAATTCACATTAGCTGCTCCAAGCCCACAAGCATACCCAGGATGGGGCTGCAGTAGCTCAGGGATGACTCTTCCCCACTGCATGCCTGCCCAACAGGAGCTATGTCCTAGCTGACTCCATCTCCACTCCCACCCCTTACAGCAGTACTGGGGTTTCAGGCAAACAGGGGCTTTTGGAGAGACCGTCATCAAGGGGTCCAAACCCACCTCAGGTACTGTGAGCATAAGAGAACAGTGTGGGTCCCAAAAGCTATTCCAACAGCTTGGCACCCAGGAAAGCTACACCCAAACTGAGACACTGGTGAACCTGAAGACCAGCACACTTGAAGCTGCAATGGCAGCCCCCAGCATTACCTGAGGCCGTCATTTGTGCAAGCATGAGGAGGTAGAGGGAGGTAGCATCCATCTGTAGATGACCCCATTCTTGGTCTCCTACCACCGTGGCACAGGTATGGGTGTTATACTTGGCATGCAGGCAGTCCCTGGTGCTCTGACTGTACTTGAAGGCCTCTACTTTCTCCACCTTGAGACAGGCAAAGAGATGCAGGCATTCATTGAACCCTGTCTCTGGAGAGGTCTGACAGCTACTAAGCCAAGGGCTGCCCCACGCCACGAGTGGAGCACATGGACTTGTGCCTGGCAGGGCAGAAATTCCACAAACCCTGGGCTGAGCCCCATTCTTCATCATGGCAGTGAGTGCAGGTTCACATGCTGCTGAGGCACAGAACTGCAGCAGTGGAGGGCCCACTGCCACAGCTGCACCATGCAGAGAGAAAAGGGTTACCCCAAATGCCCTCGGGGGGGAGAGCTGTAGAATCCTAGATCCTGCCAGGCCATGAGACAGGGAGCAGCTGGCAAAGGCTCCACTGGCCTCCAGCCCACAGCTCTGGAACTTCAATCACACCCAGGACAGATACTCACTCAGAACTTATTTCAAGACTTGCTGGAAGGGGGCCTTCCTTCTGCTTATCAGGGAAGGCTGGGGAGGGATGGTACAGCTAGGATGATAGCCTCTGTGGTATAGCTGAGCTTTAAGGAGACCACTTGACACTCAGAGGTACTCCCCAGCCCCTACCTGTCTCATCATGCACTGGAGCAGCCCCCGCATCAGCTTCACCACGCTCTGCAGGAAGAAGGAAAACAGGTTTGTTAATCTCCAGGAGAAGCCCTGACTCAGGATCAGCTGGCTGCTGACCTTTTCGGGGATCAGCGTCTGTAATCAAGAGCCCCTGCTCACATTTTCACAGCCCCTGGGCAACAGCAGAGGGAAGATTTCTTGGTGTGTCACCAAGGCTGTCTATACAGCAGGACAGAGGGCATGGCTGCAGGACATGGCTCCCCAGCCCTTGAGAAAAGGGCTGTGACCCCAGAACAAGCCAGACCCAGGTGTCTAGACCCTCTGGTTGGGCTCCAGTGTGGTCTGGGAAGAGCAGGCTCTGACATCCATTCCTATTACCTCCCGCTTCGGGGGACAGCCGTGTTCTCGCCCCCACTGCACTGACTTTGGGCCCCTGACCCAGCTATGCCAAAAGCTGACCCAGACCGGGGTGACACCGTCCCCGGGTGACACCGTCCCCGGCTCCTGCTCCTTCCTACCTGCTCCAGCTCGTAGGCCTTTGCTTTGTCTTCGTCGCGGTCGGCATTCTTGCGGTACGCCAGGCCAAGACCCCACACGGCCAGGACGCTGTACACGTTGTCCCGGACCCAGGCGTCCTGGTGGTCGGCGCTGGCGGGGAGCAGCCCCGTCACCGCGTCCTGCGGAGGAAACGCACCGTTCCCATGGAACTCCCTGGCCCAGCGGCCCGCGGGGCGCGCCGGGGCCCCGGG